GCTCAAATTTTATTTTGAATGGATAATTATTGATTACAAGTCTTTTGCAATGTATGTAAGGCAAAGAAAAACTGCCGAAAAAAAACGTCTAAGAATCACGAAAGGAAGCACTTTTTTTTCCTTGGCCGTTAGATCATAAGACCAAATCGAGACAAGTCTGACCTATCCGAATGGACTGTGACTCAAACCTCGATACTTCTGAAGAAAAAAAATTTTCAATGGACTTTGGAATGGAAAATTTTCAATTTTCGAATGGACAAGAGAATTTCTCGCGATGATTCGAATGGATCCCAAAATCGAAAAATTTTCAATTTTTTAAAAGAAGTTCAGTTCTGAAAATGTTTCTAATGCTGTGTAGTGCGCTAAAGCCCTCTGGTGTAAAATGAGCTATTATAATGCATCTTCTGTTCTTTAAATTCAGACTAAAAGGCTTTAAGGAATTTTTCTGTTCTCGATCTGGACGGTAAGGAAAAACATTCAGTTGCTGTAGGAACGAGTATAAGGATATTTTCGCATAAGTAAATAGCTAGTACTTGAACACTTGCACAAACACATAATGGAAAAGGACATAAAACAAACACTCTATTAATATATTCACATGAATCCAAACATACAGAAGTTCTCAGTTGCTGAGTTCTTATGCGAAACTGCGAAAAATAGTGGGCTGACTCTCCAAGAACCACCAGACATACCTGAGGCTAAAGATAAAACCAAAAATATTTTTCAATACTTCCAACAACACTGTTGTTGAACGTATGCTCACTTGAATAAAGCGGATAGCAGCAATACCGTGTTACTTAATAAACGTAGATGTATTTCTAGCAAATATTGGAACAGAAATTTATACTCGTACTCGAGAGAGCCCGTACTCTCCCATCTGTGAATAATATTCATTAGTTGTTCGTTAGAATGTTCGATTGTTAGCTGTTTTGATTAATATCTCACCGACAGCTACCATTGCCAATGTAGAACACTGGTAAATTAGCCATGTTAGTTTCGAGTAGTTCGATACCTTTCCAGTAGTCGATAGTCTTCAAATCGTCTTTCAAATCTTCAAGTCATCTATATCGTTAATAATCATCACTTGTAATTCTGACCAGAAGGCTAATCAGAGAAAATTTATTTTACGTCACAATCTTTACCTATTTTTGAATTTTTGTGCCATAACTATTTTCTTTGACATTCAACCAAACGGTTCGTGCTGTCGATCGAACATACCTTGTACTCTTAGTGAGATGAGTCAACTAAGCTTCTGTAAATTTTAGTATGACATATCGAACAAGAACCACTTTGATCATCTTCATGAATATGTTAATCAGGTTATCGAGCGTCAATAAACATTAATTTATTTAATTTTAATTCTGTAACAGCAATCTTAAATCGATAGATATCTGTCAGATACAATTGAAGATTGACAAATAATCAACAGTCGTTGTCTATACGATGATGCCAATCATATAATTTTAATGGCGCATTTTAATATCTAGTTCTCAATATTGATCGAATTTGTTAGCTGCCTTCGAATCAGAGTGTAATCGAATGTCCATCATTAATAAGATTATTCGACGTTAATTAAAATTGTAAAACATTAAAAATTCTAAAGAAAGAAATATTAGGACTAAATAAATAGTAAATAGTATAGGAGAGCAATTACGCCATTTTTGATAGTTTTACATTGGATTGTCATCTGTGATGGTTATCCGTTCTTTCCATATAGGAACATGTATCTATCTTAGTTATATTTCCTCCATCGTGCTTAAATATAACTTTTATTGAGACAAGAGAACTGAGTAACATTCAGTACTCGAGAAACTAGCTGGTTTCTCTGAAAAATGTGTTCGAAAACACCAAATAGAAAGTGAACATCGTTTTTGAATTGCATTTATTTTGAATTTTCTCGTAGCCAGCTCCTTTTCAAAACTAAAATCATATACATTTTACATGTATCGTAAAGAGAACAAATAATTCAATGTTCTTGTCTATTAGTACCATTTTAAAATAATAACTGATTATACACGAATTACAATAGGCTAAGATTCTATTCCATACAATAAGAATAAAAAACAATAGAGAACAACAATAGAAAACAAACAAATATTTACAAAATAATACTTTTTGAAAAATGAGATAACCATAGGGTTAACAAGTAAAATATGAACAAAATGATTAAAATTTTGACAAAATACTACAAGTGGCAAAAACTGTACTTTCTAACTTCAGATCGCTATGTTATACGTTCGTTATAATCTGCATTAAGAAACATAACATACCAAAATTATCTTTGGTTGGAATGTTATTCTCCATGTTAAAAAAAATTATAAAGTTCTTTGACTGCTGAAGGATAAATAAAAATAAACTGTTGTAAAATACATGTGTTTATATGAAAATTGGATTTTATTAGACGTAGACCAGTTAACTTAGGTATGTTAATTGTTTACATTGTTTAGCAAACAACATTCTATAAGACGCAGTTAAAATGAGTCGAAACAATTTGGATCCATAATATGAGTCGATCATAGTCAAAAAATATAAACTAAGTGATAAGTGCTGAAAGAACTAAAAATAAAATTAAGCTATTACTTAATGGTTTAAGAAGAAAACCTGGTTACATAATACAAATACCATGTACTCAACTACTTTCTTTTTTCCTTGTAGACAAATACACCGTTATCTAACTCCACCACTAACAGCCAATATCATATAAATTTTTACGAAAAGCAAAACGTACTAACTGAGCTCTGGGCAATTAAAAAAAAAGATGTTTTTTAATTACGATGTATTTTTGAACACGTTAGATGATTAGTTTGCTTGAAATTTTCAAAGAAAAATATTATTTTTAGGTAATCATTACCATAACATCAGCAGGAAGTGAAAATGCTAACAAGTGTTTAGAATGGTTATCTAGAGATCGACTTAAAACTCAAGATATGTATGCACTCAATTTCTGCTTTTTCACCACAAAAACAGATAGAATAGACAAAATTTTACATTTCTATGAATTTTCAGTATTTAGCATCATCTTCAAGCAGCACCTTGTTTTGTTTACTAATCTCTCGAATCAAAAAAATCCATCAGGTATTTGCAGAGTTATAATTGAAACACCAAAAACGCGTGTTGTATTAAATACCGAAATTACACGTGTTCAAAAAATAAATCACGTTCACAAAAAGGATAGAATTTTAGATTTCATCTTCAATGGAGAATAAACCAGGATACTTTTAGAGTAAAAACTAATTTTGACATATTATGCTGTATCATACAGTTAATTCAAATATTTTTTGTTTTCTTTTGTCTATTATCTATTCCTTGAAACCATTTTTCTGGTTTATTCATAATTTCGGCTAATTCTTTAATACATTTGTCAACGTCTTTCAACATTCCTTCCACATAGAGATTTCGTTTTGTATGAACATTTTTGGCATCATCAATTATTATTCGTGCACCTGTATCACGCATGAGTTTATTTATTCTTGAACCCTGAAATCCAATGATAATGCCGGCTTGTTTATCATTTACCAAAAAATTTCGACATACAAAATCTGTATCACTATTAGCATCGGTAGTAACAGTTTTTCTTGGACGATAATAATCATTTTCATCTTTACATTGATCATAATCATCTTTGGAATATATTTTTGGTTTGTACGAATTATTATAGATGGTAGTTGTGGAATAATCGTCAGCTGTTGATTCAGAATAACGACGTTGTTGTTTTTCCTCTTCTTGATACAGACGTTCATCTTGAGAATCCAAAAATAGACCACCATATTCTTTGACGAGTTGACGATCATAAGATATTGGATCATAGAGAGTTGATATCACAGCTAAAAAGGCAAAAAGATGTCAGAAATTTTTAATAACACGATGAGATAGTCTACCTGGCTCGTTTAAACATGTTGCATAAATTTCTTTCAAACACTGAATAATATTTGTATTTTCACTTTTTTCCAAATAAAGAACTCGCTCTGTTGATTTTGGACAACATATTGGATAGGATTTTATTGTTTGTAATTGATATTTTTGTTTTAACTGTTTGGCATTATCACCTAATTTTCCCCATATTAGTGGAATGAATGTTTGATCTAAAAGTATTCGTAAACCAACGGTCGTTACATCAATTATTGTTAATAAATCTTCGACAAGATCAAATGTTGTGATGAGAACACATTCCGGTACTCCACGTTCAAGAATTTCGATAAAATTTGTATAATTATTATTTTCAATTAGTTTTAATGCTGATGATTTTGATATAAGAAAACGACATTTAAATGATTCATCAAAATAATCAATTTGAACTGGTGTTCGATGTTTATGCTCGGTACATTTGGACAAATTTAACTGACCAACTATTTGAGCATGTTCGCTATTAAGTTTGAATGATAAACATTTTAATACTGATATTTCATCTTGTAATTGATTTAACCGATCAACAGTTTTTCGAATTGATAATGATGATGAATTATTATTCTGGATGCTATCGAGTTGTTTCGATAACTGATCATCTATTAAATGTTGTATGGTGTTTCTAAAACAAATAATTCATTCGTATTCGGTGAATATCAACTGTTGCTATAGTAATTCTCAATAATTATCATGTATTTCCAACCCACAAAGTTTAACAGGTATTCAGCTCACCTGTAACAATCTAATTGATTATATGATGTATCTAATTCTTCTAATGTTTGATCATGGATCATGTTGATTTTATCAATCATTGATGTTTTCCAACACGATAAATCTCGTTTAATGTTAGTATAATTTTCATCAAATGGTAACGCACTAAGAGTATGTTTTGATTGATTTATACGAGATCGTAATGTTTGAAGACGTTTATTTAATAATTCTGAACGTTGATTAGTTAGAAAATTGTTATTGTTAACAGATAAATTAACGGTAGATGAAGGAACATCGAAAGCCATTTGTGGACGAAATCAAGATAAAAAAAGCTAAAAATAATATTTACATCTATAATGAGATAACAAACAGTTTAAAACAAGAATATCACATCTCAAGCACAATTTTCTTATAAATATAATTAAAAAAACTGATAAGACTAGGATAGTTTGTTTGAGGGTTTAATTTCGAAGTTCAAAGGCAAATTTTTGTTTTGATCCCGTCGCCAATCTCCATATAGTATAGATAAGATGTCATCGTGACTATTATACACACCACTAACGTCGTTAGCCACCTTAAGTTTATCTGTATAACATAAAAATCAGAATGGGCTTCTAATATAAATAGACAGACATAAATAAAGATCAATAAATCAGTCAGAAATAATCCTACACAATTAAAACGTTGAATTATCATAGAGAATAGATTTTATCTTTTAAAATACGAGAAAGAAAAACAAACAAATATAATTGCCGAACCAAAATACAAACGGTCATCATATAACAGTCCTAGTTAATTACTCCACTTATAGTGTCTTTGACTAAAGAAAGCCGGATGATTACACCTTGAATATATATAAACCTGAAGAGCAGCCGTCACTTAATAGAATCCATTATCTTGTTTAAAGTTATACTGTGCTAGTTAATCATTGACCGTTTATAAAAGTCAAAATAACTGCAAAGTTAGTGCCATGATTTCAGAACAATAAAAGTCAAATTTAAATAAGAGAATAATTGACACCGTTTTTATCATTTTATTAGAGACGTTTCGTTATGAACTCATAACATCATCAGTCGAAAAATGAATGAAATTTCATTTTTCGACTGATGATGTTATGAGTTCATAACGAAACGTCTCTAATAAAATGATAAAAACGGTGTCAATTATTCTCTTATTTATATTTAAATGTTTTCACCGTATAAACAAAAGAAAGTCTAAAAGTCAAATTTTTCCTAAAAATATGGACAAAAATCAATTAAGTTTGAAAGTTATATGTTGCCGACGAATTTACTTATTTACTTTTACTGAATGCACGATTGTAAAATATAACTCAGAAACGGCACTACACATACACCTTTCAAACTTTCTTATGTATGCAATTAGCTGGAAACAAGTGATGTAGCTTTCTATGCTCTTCAATATTCTCGACACTCGTAAAATTTCTCTGAGAAGACTGTATTAGAATATCCTCAAAAAAAGAGAAATCAGCCAACATGAGACAAAATATATTCCAAAACATGCAGTAAAAACAAGTTTATTTTCGATTTTAAAGGACGTCTACCAGGCACAATAATATCGTTATGAACATGCATTTATGTTTTCTTGAAAAATAGTATTTGTTTAAGACAGAAAATAACTTTAACCTGTTCTGTATCCCCTTAAAAGAAAAAAGAAACGAAAGAATTGCATGTCTATACTCAAAAACGGATAGAAATACACCAAACACAAAAGTATTTATTTGAACTAGGGATATTCGGTTCTTGGTTCTCAGCTTAGAACCGAAAAATAATTTTTCAGACAGTAAGAAGTCAATGAAATAGAATTCATTTTATAGTAACCAGAATCGAACCGATGTTCCGGTCCTTCACGAGAACCGAAGATCCCTGATTTGAACTATCCTTTTCTTCAGACACCCTTATCAGTATTCGATGAAGAATTCTCGTATTTTCTTCTCATAACCTTTCTACTCAAGATATTCCATCAATGGTCAACAGACTTTCATCGAATACCAAATAACACGAATCACCGTCCGTTTTGTTCACTTTCAATCAAATAAAAAAGCTTTCGAGCGTTGTCGTAACATGCAACTTCTTTTAATACTTGACGGCTGTCTACGGGTCCAACTAGACCCGTCTTGATATAAACCTTATTCTGTCAGAATACAAGCGGAAAATATTTCATTATAGTATTCTAAACTAAAACTATCGAAAAACACAAAATCAATTTTGTACGAATAGAGATTCGAACATGTGAACTTAGCTTTGTAGTAAACTACTACAAAACTAAATTCACCGTTCTATACAACGATTGAAGTTGTGCAATCGACTCGACGTTATCAGTAGTAATTTTTCTAGTATGTTTTTTGTGTTCTGTTTTGATATAAACAGACCCGTCTTGCAGTTTTTTGTTTGCTATCACGCCAGTACCTGGTTTTTTCGAGCCGTCCTCTTTACTAATCATCAATCTGCTATTCATGTGCAAGAGCCATATCAAATTTTATGAATATGTCTTACGGACAAAAATTTGGAGTATGGGTCCACATGGATCCCACGACAACCATGGTGTTATACTCACAATTTTTAGCCTTGTTAGAACCACTAAAAAAAAGTTTATATTCTAAACCACATGTTTGCATACGTCAGCACAAATACCAATAGATTTATGCCTGATGCGGATCTTCGATTCATGCATGAGAGGCTTGAATCAAACGAAACAGAACAAATTTCTCCTATGAGTCAAACCGGACCCGTGGACAGCCATGACGTCCAAAAATGAGGGTAGCCATCACGGGGTTAAGTAAAATTGTATCTCAACACTACCAGAAGCGAACACACTAATTTATCAAGCTACCAAAATACGTACCCGATACGTATCTGCTTTGTGAGTATCATCTTTTTCTTGCAAAACCATTGCTTTTTTTGAGCAACAAGAAATTATATTTATTCCACTTGGCTTCTTTTATTCATCAAACCAAACTTCGTTTCCTCTTCCGAAAAATAATGGTTGACAATATTAACAACGAGAAATTATCATCGCAAATAGAAAAAAAACAACTTTTATTTAAAAAATCACGTTTGTCCCAAAAAAAATAAATGGATAAAGATCAAAATATAGTTCTAATTCTACAAAAACGAACACGACAAAAATATTTGGAGAATCACAGGTTTGAAATGACGAAATAAGATAAAAACAACAATAATCACTTATTAGAAATTCACAAAGAGGACTGGGTTGATGATAATAAGAAAACAAACTGAGTCCAAAATAAAGAGTAAATAAGTAAAACGAACACGTACAAAACACAAGATTTGTATCAAAAAGCAACAAAAAGTGTATACAAGTGGCATACATATAAAACGTACCGTATCGACCCAAGCATGTAGTCAAACGTTACACACGGCTAATAGGACGAGAAGAGTTTTGAACGATGTGGCACAGTCTGTGAGCCCAATACCTTCAAAAAGTGAACAAGTGCACTTCACTTTTGCTTAAGATTTACCTATAGATTTGAAAAGGTACAAATAAAAATGAAGAATGTAGATACATAAGCGAAACGTTCGTTAACTAAGCAAATAAGCACAGAAAGAAAAACATACTCACAGCTCAATAGAAAGATATGCGCATAAATGTCTGTTTTTTGTTGTTAAAAATAAACTCCTGAGTCTTGTCAAAGAGAAAAAACAAAAACAACTAAAACCACCACCATACTGTATTCTTTAAATAGAAAGTGACAAAAGCAAGAAAACTAGGATTTGTATATGATATAACAATAATAATTGGACAAAAATGAGATAGAAACGGACATTGCATAAAGATTAGAAAATAAAAGCAAATAATTTGCTGTCCATTTGCCAACTCATTTTCTTGTTCTTAATCATTATCATCAGTCGTTGGACGAAAACGATAATATTCATCAGAGAATACTTTTCTCTGTTGTCGATTTCTTCCGCTACTCTGATGTAAAGACAATGGTTGTTTAGTTGATGGTGCATGCTGCTGCAACCAATGATCAACTTTTTCGGAAGAATCATAGCTCTTTGAACGACATAGAGTTGGTCTAACGGCACCACTTTGCTGTTGTAAATGTTGTTGACCAGGTGTGCAATCACCACCTCCTCGACCACCACGACAAGATCGGTAACCTTCATCTGATATTTGTCGATCAATATTGAATATATTTGGTGGTAAAGAGACGGCCGTAATGACTGATGGGTGAGGATCTTCATCGACTGGTGGCAAAAATGCGTCATCTTGTTGAGGTTGTGACGGTGCGGCTAAAAATGAAACTAATAGTGGAAAACTGGGATATCTCTGAAAACAGTTGGTGATTGATCCTATTATTCTCATATAACCATAGATACAATAATATCTTCAGCAAAAACTTACATATAGATTGCCTATGTGAAGACGTTGTTGTGGATGGTGGCGAATTTGTTGCTTTTTTCGATGAAGATGATGAAGATGATCGTTGTTCCTTGATCAGAGGTAAAAAGGACAGAGCCGGTAAATTTACTTGTGGTAGTAAATCAAGTGACGACGTTTCTGAGTAATTGTCTTCGACAGCTGAATCAACAGCAGACGATAAAACATGCTCATCTTGTTCTTCTTGAATAATTTCATCACTTTCCTGTTCGTCATCTAGTGGGAGATTTCGATCCTCTTCTTCTGCTGTAGTTTCACGTGTTACAGTGGATGAAGGACTCAGTTTTCGGTGATCTAATTCGTTCAAATAAGATTCTAAACTTTGTTGAATAAATTCCAGGGTTTTTAAGGCTGGTTTGATTTCATATTCATACATTGGCATTGACTGCATGGTATCTGGATACGAGGAACGAATTGTATTGTATAATTGTAACATTTGACTTGTATGCTTTATAGCGAATGTCTAAAGTAAAAAAGAAATAAAGGTATTTATTGATTGATACGCCTTGATACGTCTAAAGACTTTATCTATATACAATCATTGTGATGAACTGCATTTTATTCTTATCTTACGGTAAGACAATTAAACTTATCAATATCAAACTTGACGAACATTTCAAATTTGCTTTTACTTACCTTTTTATTCTTCTTGCCCGATTTTTTCATGTTTCCTTTTTTTGTTGTTGTTGAACCTCCATATTTGTTCAGTATATCATTATCAAGTTCTTTCTTATATTCGACCCATTTTTTATCATAGTAGGGTGAATGGATGATATCATTTGATGGTGTCTGTGATGAATAACTACTCATTATTTCATTACCGTCATTATCATTATTATGGGATTTTGTTAAACGTAATGGTGGAAAGTTTCTCGGTAATTTCATGGCAATAGTGACGGGAGGTGATTTTGATGTGACTGGTGGTGTCGGATATGTAGATAAAATGACTGAATCAGAATCATTGTATGATAATTCCGTTTGTTCATCATCAAGTATATGTTCATTTATGGAGGTGGTTGTGGGTGAAAGAAATAATGGTGAAATTAAATCGATAGCGCCACCAGATAAGGGCGTGTCAATCAAATCATGTTCGGACATTTGTTCACGTAAATAAGAAATCATTGTTTTTATCTGAGCAAGTTTTTCTTCTGTTTTACGACATTCAATAACTATACTAAAAAAATAGAAGAGAAACGGCTTTTAAGATCAATTCACACTGGTAAAAGAATGACAGCTTCTTTTATAAATCTCTCTTGCATCGAATACTTTACTTTTCTTCTTCTAATGCTTTTAACTGATTTGATTCATTACTAAATCCTCCACTATTTGTTGTGTCCGAAGATGATAAACGATTTACAGATGATTTACGACGTTTTTTAGATGTTCTAGTAAACTTTAGTAATGCTTCTCGTTCTATTCGAAGTTGCTCAATTTCTACAAATACATACAAAGGATGAACAACAGGACTCTGATGATGATGATCAGAAAAGCTAGCATACTTTTATCAAGAATTGGTCTTTTTTCAGCACTTTCATCTAACAGTACTTCATTTTCTTTACGTTTCATTTGATATTTATTCAAATCGTCTTGTATTTTCTAGAAAAAGAAAAAAAAATACAGGGTGAACAATAAAACAGTTGAATTCAATTTACAAACATACATCTCTTCTATCTGTAGCTATTTTTTGTGCGTCCTCTGATGTTGTTATACGCGCTTGTAATTCAGCTTCTTCTCTAGATAAATAAATAAGAACACATATATTGAGTTATTCTCAGACACAGACAAATCTTTTTTACTTCAAAAGTGGTAAAGCAGCATCAACAGCTGCAAGATTATTTTTCACCAATTCTCTATATTGTTCTGATTTGTCACGCCGTTTTAATTCATCTTCATACCGTCTAAAAAATAAACCGATACATATCATAGAAAAAAAACGAATATATCAAACTATTTTCCTACATACTGTTTATCTTTCAGTGCTGTTGTAAGTGATGAAAATCGTGCTCTTGATCGTGATCGTAGATTTGACATTTGCGCTCTCTGAAAGAGACAAATAAATGTACAATAACAAGTAAAAAGAGATGACAAAATTAACGTGCTTTTAGATATTCTTTTCAAGCATATACATCAAATTTGTAAACATACAATCATCAGAATCAAGTTAAACTTCAAAACGAGTTCAAAAGCGAGTCTTACTAATTGTTTTTTGATGGAGTTATTTCGAATAATGTGTTTATTTATATCTTGATATTCTTTCTGTAACTCAACCATTTCATTAACAATGAAATGATTGTCTTGTGTAATTTTTTCATCATCATATTTTTTCTAAAAGAAAAGATAAAAATTGCTTTTTTCAACAATTCTCACTTAATACTTTTTCAATCTTACCCGCTGACGAAGTAGCGTTTGAATTTGACTCTTAATTTCTGATAAACGTCGATTGATATCTTGATGTTCGTTAGTTGTGGATGAAGAATTTGAACTAAAATAAATATTTATTTAAAAGAAAGATACAATATAAGACACGAATAACATACCGTGCTGTTCTATCGTCCTCTTCATCAATTATTTCACTCATTTTGTCTCAAAAAATGATAAAAAAATGTTTATTAACGAACAAATCAAACACACAGCTAAATAAATAAACAAATTCTAAATATTAAATGTACATCTTGCTCGCAATAGGATATATTGCCTTCATGTCAAAAACATGGCGCAAGTTATATTTTTTCGCTTTCGTTAAGGTTAACCTTTCCGTTTGTGATTTTTATCTTCATTACTTACCAGAAAAGCTTTTATCAAAAGAAAAAAAACAATAACAGCTAAAAAATCTTTAGTTTTGTAAAATATTTTTTATTTTTCATTTACGAATATGTATTAGAAAACATAGATGATGTTAGTCGTTATTGAATATGCAAACAAGTTCAACTGGTAATAATATAAATAAAGTTATTCGTCGTTTACGTTTTTTTCTATTGTTTAACATCACCAGACACTCACTCACACAGCATACATTCACAGAAAAACAAATGATGGAAATTTATAGGGAGTTTATATTCTGATTAAATAAACAAAATATAAATCTAAAATATTTATAAATTTATAATAAAATAAGTAAAAAATATAAAAAGACATAACAGTAGCAACTACTACTTTAGGATTTTAGTTCATATTTAATAAAAGTAGCACATGAACTAATTACGTTTGAGCGAGACAAAATTGCGCTTGTATCTTAACAGCCACGACAGCAAACATGTGTCCACTCCACTCTTAGTATACCACGTACATTCGTTTGGATTGATTATGATGTGATGATAGAAGGAAAGAGAAGAAGAAACGAAGCCGTTACATAATGTTTTATTCCACTGGCCAATACTACAAACCAATCTCACTTAGAAATGCAGAGCCGGATTTTTGTGGGCTTTTTCTACCTGTGATTTGAAGACTGTATATATGTGTTCCTCATTATTCTATTACAAAAAGAGTTTTTCAATTTCTGTTGTGGTGACGCCACTTTATCGATAATTTTAAGCAACTACACATAACACTAGTACCGATCGTAGCGAGAGTTTTTTCAAGCTAAATTATTTTTATTCCATGTTATGTGAACTTTGTATTGAAATTTATAAATTTGTTATTCGATGTAATTTTGTTTTCTGCTGCGCCAATTGACTCTCATTGATTGTTGACTGTTGCGCCATCCTTTGTTTTATGCAGGTTCAGTTTTATACGGCAAATCTCTTTCATAAAGCTAGACCTGACAACCAGATTAACTTATCACCTTGAAAGTTTGAGTACGGTGTAACAGTGTGTTGATTACTTAGCGATCTGAGACAATGTTGTTGGTAATGGCAGAATAATGGTTGAAATTCGTTACAATGAGAATTGTGAATAATTTGACAAATAACCACAGTTTTTCAAGTATACTTTAAGCTAATCATGACAAATATTAATAAACAGATTTGTTTTTATAAGTAGCTTATTGCGTCTTATACGTGCGCGTAGTTGTGTACGTAACATTTTCCAACAAAGTATTCATTGAGACCTTACAACTTTTTTCACTTAAGGAGAGATATTGGAGAGTTAGCGCTAGAATGAAAAATTTTCTTTTTTTCTCATGCGCTGAAGTTCGGTGAGTTGAAACTAAATAAATTGTGCCTTGGTGTTGAAAAACAGATCGTTCGATACCTTATATTTTCCTCAAATACCGACAACTCACCGTCGATGTTTCCTATACCACGGTATGGAAAAAATTATCAGACTATTGTGTTATAGAAAACATTGATTAACTGCTTGATTTTTTGTCGATTTTGCTTTGCAGTTATCACATGCATATAATAACCACATAGTTTATTAGAAATTTTCTAAATTTTTCCACAATATTGAGGCCAGAATTTCGACTGAGTCCGAGCATCCTCCAGACTCCGAGATTACTGGATAGTGGTAAAAACTGATCAGACTAAAGTTTCACCAATATGTTACCACAGTCAGTCGACGATTCTATCTGTATGAAAGAAATAAAATAAAAATGAAAAACGCTCTTATAGTATGATTTGAACTGTGTCAGTGAAAGACCACTACCAGTTAACCTTGATTAATTGACATCTTTTTATCGTTTTGATAAAAGTGGAGTTGTTATTATCTGCCTTTTATGGATTTCCAACGCATTTTACCATTCCAAATTCACGGTAACATAAACTGTATGTTGTATATTGCAGTAGCACGGATAATCTGGATTACTTCATAAATTGTGTTTTACAACTGCTTTTTCGTTATAGAAAAGCTCAGGCCTTGGCAACTTGAATTGGTCTTTACTACGCGCGCAGTCCTCTAGACTGCCTTTCTGCAACTTTTCTCTCAACACAGTTAGTTGAGAATATATACGTCAGACGTTGACGAAATAATTCAGCAATTCGATCTTCAATGGCAGTCACCCATCCACTTACTACTCGTCATTCTGACGCTTATCCTTGAAGTTTTCTGTAACAAAAACGCGGTTATAAAACAAAATTTCTTTAGTTCAAACAAGCCGAGTTTAAAATATCAAAATCGGGATTACTTTGTGATTATTTTTTGCGTATGATGATAAGTATTTTGTCTTGTTTTAGATGAAGGGTTTTTTGTATAGTCAAGACGGTTCATTCGCCTTTCCACTTGGTCCAAAAGTAACAACAATTGGTCGAGAAAATTGCGATATCAGTATAAACGTAAGTTTTCTGAGTATATCTATCTTTAGTATTTCCTTTAAAATGCTAATATTTTTTCCTTAGAGCCCTCATGTAGATGGACAGCACGCTCTCATGGAATATGATGATGACAGTCGTTGTTTTATTTTGAAAGATTTAAATTCAACAACTGGAACATATGTTCATGACTGTCGAGTACAAAATGCAGCTGTTCGATTAGCTGATGGAGATACTATACGATTTGGTTACAATGGATTACCAATGGAATTTAGAATTGAACAAGATACTACAGTAAGCAGAACAAAAAGTTTATCAGTGTTGCTCTATCCAATAAAAATGTAAAAACTTTTACCTTTAAATGCTAATAAAAAATAATAAAAGAACTGATGATAATTCATCGCCAACGTCTCAGTTTCATACCATAACAGTTAGAGAAAGACAAGTTATGTAAAAACGTAGTAACCCAGGAAAGTCTTCCTCTGAACTTCAAACTTCATTTTTCCTTCTTACGAAGGAAAAAACCGTACGTTTTCACAAATGGGACTTTTGCATACTAAAGATTAATTCCTCGCTGTTTTAGAGTACAATGCCTTCAATCTACCAACGTCAGTCAAATGGAAATTCGTTACAAATGATAACGCAGACGATACCGGCTAGAAGGGCAACAAGTGGCGTACCATCGACAACTTCAAATACTATAGATGCACTTAATCCAGTTGTCAATGGAACAAATTATAAGCAAAATGCGGGATTTTCATTGAGGTACAATGCTTCCTTCTTTTTATTCTTGTCAGAAAAGTATAAATTAGACTCATGTCTCATAGAAATCGGCCATCAAGTGCGGGTGGCAGCCAAGGACAAAAGAAAACCCTTAATGGCGGTTTTATTTCCAATGGTGTAAGAGATTCAGTATCACAACCACCAGTTAGAGGTAAAAGAATAACAAGAGCAACAAGCCCAAGTTATTTGTCAGATATCAAAACTTCAACTTTCATTACTTGTACATATTTGTTAATTTTATAGCTAATGCGTGGGTGAATGGAATGAATACAAATACTCAACAAAATGGTCTTAGTACTCGAAGTTATGTTAGTGGTAGTTTTAATGGTGAACTTGATATTTCCCAACAGGTTTCTTAAATAAACTACCAAAAATAAAATAAATTTGAAACTAATTTACATATTTTTCTAGAATGATAACGAAATAACAAATCGTGTAACACAATTAGAGAAAGAAGTCAAAGTTCGAGATATGGAAATTCGTGATTTAACCGATAGAGTACATATAATATAAATTCACTTATATTTAAAATTAATTTATAAATATATTTTCCATTTTACAGTTACGTAATTTGGAACCAATAAGTTCCACGTTTACAAATGAAGTTCACGTCATGAAAACAGAATTAGACAAAGTAAAACGAGAAAAACAAGCTGCTTCTGGTCTAGTATCAAGTTTACAGCGAGATTTACATTCAAAAGTATACGAGTTTTCTTTAAACTCTGAAATACAAACAATATTATTCTCTGTATGTGTTAGGAATCAAGTCTAACAAAATTAAGTCGTGAAGTCGATGCGTTAAAAACCGATAGTCGAGATAAAGATTTACGATTACAATCGTTACAAGCAAAAGTAAGACGAGTAACTGTAAAAAAAAAAGAATTTATTCTATGGTATTACTGTGAAAGAAAAGAAAGGTTATACAATCTTTTCATTGTTTTTAGCAGGTGATTATTTACTTTTGTAAGAAATTTTTTTACCCATACGAAAAACTAGAAGAAATCAACAAATGCTACGAATAATAACATCAATTTTTTGACGTGGTTTGCTGCATTTGTGCTATTTACTAAATAAAAAAGATAGCATTTAGCTTTTTAGTTTGTCAGAAACATTCATTAGATTAGTAGTGAACAGACATCTAAGTTATTGTCTTAGAAGGACAATAATATTAATCGGTATTTTTGATCTATTTAGTAATGATGAAATCAAAATATCAATAAATTTGTTCAACTTTTTCTACGTCGTTCATTACTAATGAATGTTTCGTACATTCGCTTATTTATTGTTCGTTATTTATTTCATCCTGGCTTTCTTTTTATATGCATATTGCTCTCGTAACTGATCTAATAGTTATTTAGGCTTTTTCGCCATGATAATCATGCAATATTTAAGCTTAAAATATAATTTAAAAAATAACTTCCAATGAGTTGTTATTATCCAAAAATAACTAAATTGAGAAATCTATCAAGTGCAAAATGCAATAAGATTGAAATTAGCTCTCGCATCGTTTGTATGTATGACATCATGAGTTCTGAGATCAATATGGATGTGAATTTTTCTGAGACACTTTACTGCACTTTTACTGTGATAGAATATACAAGTGAGAACATTTTCAGTATTTTTTCTTACACAAAAAGCACGTGGCACCGATTTTAAGCGTACGTTCTTGTTATAGATAGATGGTTTATATTTTTTTTTTAATATTTTTAGCTCAATTTATTACGTGATCGTGGACGTTCAGAAGAAGATCGTTATACAAAAGAAAAGGAACTTGTAAATTTGCGTAATGTAACGCATCAAAATCAATTATAATATTAATAAAATATTATTTTTTCTAAAAATGAATTTTTGTTTTTAAAACTAGAAAATGAAATCAGCTGAAAATCAAGTTCAAGAATTAAATGATGCTGTTAATCGTTTAAAATCTCAATTACAAGATACTGAAAAACAACTATTAAGATATAATCAAAATGAACAAAAATTAAAACAAGAATATGAACAAACGCGTGCACAATTAATTGAAACACAAAGAAGTGAAAATATTTTACGCACAGATTTAGAAGATGTACAAAGAAAGGTTTGTCTTTATTTAGTTACAATGAATATTAATCCATTTATGCTCAATGATCAACACTTGAGAAATTTTACAGAATTGCTCAGTAGTGGCGTGTATAAATGATTTTGACACATATCCCCATCTTTAAGATTCGATACTCACAAACCGGAAATCCAAGATCTTCAATTTTTAGACCTTTTTTCTGTCCCGTTTCTACTTTGCTTGATTTTGAAAAAAGTTTGTTTTAAATTGAACGAAAATTTGACGTATAACGCATGTATCGGTAGAGTAACACATTTAAACGATCAGATTAATCTTTAGATTAGTTAATTTACTGGAATTGACTCATTTTTTGTCCCTTTAAAAAAATAACTCAACTTTTGTGTCACATTTTTTCTGAGAATCCTTCCTTCTATTCTTACTCTTGTTTCGCCATGTGACTGATTTCTGAACTCGGAATAAAGTGAGAATGAAAATCGGTATGATTTACATGTCATCTGTTAGCTTTACCGATCAAATGACGTGTACCGTACATAGAGAACATGGTCACCCTCAGATTTCAGATCAATGGCTATCTGATCGGTGTACTAATCAAACGTGACCAAACTGATCGTCGCTATATCTCAAAAGACTCAAACAGCATAACGAAGTTACATCGAGGTCATTCTCTTTGACAAGATCCTTTAGGTATATTTTTCATTAGGAGATTTTTGTGCAGTCACCATGTTTGAGCAAGCCTATAGAAGGCAAGAGACCTAAGATTTGCATAGTTTTTAGATATGATTACCATTTTAACATTTTTAAATTGTTCACATAATAAAAGACAAATAGTACAGACATAACACTATTTTTAGTTTCCAAAAATATCGATTCGGTCTCATTCAACAACCATTTCGATAAAAGGCTTCAGTTCAGAGTTTTGTTTGCGTTATAGTTTGTATTCTGAATGTTTTTGAAAACCTCAAAATGGACACAGTATTACGTTTGTACTATTTGTGATAATTTATTTATTTTTGTTGAGATTCTGTATACGAATAAGGATTAAATAATTAGAAATAAGATTGCTTTTTTTTACGAATAAAAAAGCAATCTTATTTCTAATTATTTGTGATAAAAATTCCGATCCTCTTTCTGTCGTTGTAGTCGAAATGCCGCACTGAAGGAAATCCATCATTTACAGAAAAAAACAGTTTACTTACTTTCATTCGATCATTTGAATTAGATTAATAAAAAGCGAGCATAAAGCTGCTCTCTGTTAAAAGAAGAAAATAATCGTACTAAAATGATAATCTCTTTTCTCTATGCATAAAACGGAACATGTTGTGCATGCCTATGGTACATAAACACGATAAGACATTAAGTATTTCAAAAAAAGATAAAACTAACCCTCTTTGCATCACCAAAACCAGCTGCTGATTTTTATCTTTTGAATCTATCCCTGTTCTGGCACCAAATTAGTACGCATACACGTGTGTCAGTCTTACTTTATAAACTTTTTTTTTTGTTGTTGAAAAAAATGACTGAAAATCTTTAGTAATTCATGCTGTTTTGAAGAATACTTTATTTTTACTTATAAACCATACACACAGATAGAGTTTTATAAAATTTGAAATTCTTACTCTTTAAATCGTAGCTTCCTAAATGCGGCCGAAATTTAAGCCAATTAGTATAAAAGTGGACGCAATTAGGAACGAGTAAATTTGTATAATTCTGCGTTTCCAAATTGCGCCCACTTTTTAATTTGTGAGTAATCAATCAATCATCGTAATTTAAAATATAGATACATAAATTAGTCGCTTTTTAGAAAAAATAGAAGTAGAAACATATATAAGAATTGATGACTATATACGAACGTCAGAATAAGAAGCAGCTCCCAGAACAAAATGATTAGTTTTGATTAAAAATCAGTAAAACACATCCTAATGATTACTACTCGCAAAAGAATGTTTAATACCATTAATACAATTAATGATGTATTTCGACAAACATTAGTTAAGGGTTGTCATTTTCACTACGCTCAGAATGTATGGAAAAAAGTTAAAAAATATGGTTTGGTAAAATTAGCAAAACAAGAAAATATTCAGTGGATTAATGAAGTTCGTTCGTCTGAAGAATCTGTTATGTGTCATTATGAACATGAACAAGCTCAAAAGCGTACAACACGACCACGAAAAATGAAAAATATACGTGATGATGTGAAGCTTAAATTAGCAAAAACAAAATATATTGAAGATAAAGACTTTGATAGGTATCAAAAAGTTTTAAGAGCTCTTTCTCATCGATATATAGATGTTATAAAAGATGCCGGAGATAGTAATGACGAAGATTAAATTCTGTATTGATAGAGCTGTTTTGTATATAATACATAAATATATAGTCATCGATTCTTCTTATATATGTTTCTACTTCTATTTTTTCTAAAAAGCGATTAATTTATATATCTATATTTTAAATTACGATGATTGATTACTCACTAATTAAAAAGTGGGCGCAATTTGGAAACGCAGAATCATACAAATTTACTCGTTCCTAATTGCGTCCACTTTTATACTAATTGGCTTAAATTTCGGCCGCATTTAGGAAGTAGCCCTCCAGATATACTTGATTGAATCCATAGTGAAAATTCTTCAACTCTCCGAAAAATTTAGACATAAACGAATTAGATGATGAAGGACGATTATTTTACTTTAAGCATAATCAAATTTGTACAAATGTTTGGAAATGTTTTACGTTAATCAATGATGATAGTTCAGATAATGATGATTATACCGATGACGATATTTTAGAGCAAATAAATCGGACAAATCAAAATTATAAACAGATAAAAGAACAGTTAACAAATGAAACACAAAAATATAAAAATTGTAATGATGAATTTCAAAATATTCAACAAACATTAACAGATTATACAAGAAAAATCAATGAAATATTCGTATGTATATCATTTTTATTAATATATTTTTATTATTTATTTAATTTTTATTTAACTTTTAATTTTAAGACAAATTCGATAAATAAAAATTTAAATTTAAATACATTGACAATAGCTCGTAGACAAATTGATAATCTCGAAATAACAAATTATCTTGATCCATTTAAAAAATTAATTTTAAATTCAATTGATCATAATTTACAATTAGCCAATGATATTAATTCACTTTTATTAACATATGATATTTCAGATGATAATCAATGTAAGTCTCGATTATTATACCATTTTGATATAAAATATACATTTTATCATTACATTCTAGCATTAAAAGATAATTTAAATATTATTAAAACAAAATTAGAAGAATTAGAACAAGAAAAACAAAATCTATCATATGAACATAATTCTCGAGAAGAAACATTTCGAAATGAATTAGATCAATTAGCTGCTGAAAAAGAGTAAGAGTTATCTAGTATAGTTTTTATTTTTCAATTAAAATTATTTTATTTTTATATTTTCAGCTCATTTTGGCAACAACATGTAGATGAAGAATGTGATCGTGTACGTGAACAATGTTTAATTGAACAAAATCGAAAAGAAACATTATTAAAAAATGAATTTGATGAACAAATAATTGATTATAATAATCGATTAAAAACATTATCAAGTCAAAATAATGATTTTTTACAAGTAATAAAATGTTAAAAATTTTTTATTTTTTTAATATTATTTTATTTTTTTATTATTTATTCAATGATTTTAATATTGTTTATTCATTTTCAAAGAGACTAAATTTACTTCAAAAAGATTCAGCAATTCAGTTAGAAGAAACAAATACCAAATTACAAATATGTAAAACTGATCTTGAAAATGAGGTAGTATAAAAAAAAACTAAGAATAATAAAAAAACTATTTTATTGCTTTATTTTCTTGTTATAGCGTGAAAGACAAACGGAGTTATTAAACATGATATCGTCAAAAGATGAACAATTGATTCGAAATGAACGAGAAAAAAATGATATTATCAAGGATCTATCGTAGGTCAAATGTATAATTCAGATGGCAATGTTTATCCCTACTCGTACATATCTTTTATTTATTATCAGTCATCTTCTGAGTTAAAGACACACTCTTTCCATTCAAAGATTGAAGTTAAAGAGAAATCAAGACTAAGTTTGATATATCTGTATATAGATCTAAGTGTTCTTTTTGAAAGTGGAAGTCATTTCTACTTTCAAAAATATTTCTTTTGCAAGTTATAAATTTATTAAGTTTTGACATGATCAAAAATTTTTTCAGCTCTTTTATATGAAAGAAAAGAATCAAATAGTCTAAAGTATTTTCTTCAAAATGAGGTATTTCCTAGTTCTTGGGAGGACTTACGAGGGAACATATGCAACTGTTCGATCGTTTTTTTAATGAAACCTAGTGGACTATAGGTAATAGACCATGCTGATTCCGAATATCAACATGAGACGGGGCTTATAGACCTTTCAAAATGGACACAGTATTATGTTTGTACTATTTGCGATAAAAATTCCGATCCTCTTTCCGTTGTTGCGGTCGAAATACTGTACTGAAATAAACCTATTTTCTGCAATTGAGGGCCTCTGGGAAACTCAAAATATAGAAAATGAAAGAATACTACTTCCAGCAGAACTATTTTTTGTCATAATTCAGTTGAATCTATTTGTGTCTGAAATGCGGGAAGGTTAAGAATGCCCTAAATGTCTAAAACATATGGACGAAATGATCTAAATTAAAGGTCAAAGGTATAAAACCGGATTGTCCATACAAAAGCAGACTTAGCACAAACTTTATTGTTTCCTTGAACATGTTAATTCTGGAATAATGATGGCGCGACCTGAAATCGCTTCTCTCATAAATTGTACGAGGAGAGGAACGAAAGGTTTGTGATAACCCTGCTTTTATTTGGACAATCTGATTTCATACCTTAGAGTTTTAATTTCGCTCTTCTTCCGAGACCACTTCTTCCGCCATATGAATATCTGTGTTTAATAAAAAAACCGTTTAATATTTTTAGTGGAGAAGTTGATATTTACAAAGAACAAGTAAAACAATTTTCCATAACAATTCTGCAACTAGAAAAAAGTTTATTAGAAGAACAACAGAAACGAATTAAATTACAAGAGGACGTTGAACAGCATAAAAAACAACATCCAAAAGGTAAACGAATAAAGAAACTTTTAATTTTATCACACAACTTTTTTCTCCGTTTTAGAAATAGTACAGGCACCTACATACGAAGTACTTGTACCCGCCGTTCCCGTCATAGAGCCAGCTGATCTAAGGTATGTAATAGTTAACTTCGCCTTATTTAGATTAGAGTGTGTACATATGTTAGAGTCACACAAAGTTTCTTTTTGTTTAATAATCTTCATTTTAGTCATGAATTATTTGCCTATAAATCTCGTATACAAGAACAAGATCAAATCATTGTATCGTTACGACGTGATTTATCGGGTGCTGCTGCACGACTCTCGGATGTTCAGGGTGAATTAAGTGAAAAACAAAAACGTCAAATAGAAAAAAATGAAACATTAATTCGCGAACAAACGCGAGAATTAGGTGACACAAGATCAAAATTATCAAAATTATCCGATATTGTTGATAAACAATCACGTCAAATTGAATCGTTACAAACAGATCTAACGTGAGTTTATAAAATGATAATGTCTTAGACGTGTAATACGTATATGTATAATAAAACATTTATTATTTGATAGAAAAGCCAAAGCGCTCTCAAATCAATATCAATTATTAGTTGATCAAAAACAAGCTGAAATTGAACGATTATCAAAAACAGTCGAACAAAAAAATATTATTGTTGAAAGAGCAGAAAAAAGTAAAGATGAAGAAGTAAGAAAATTTTTTCATCACTTGCGTATGAATCAATTTATTTTATAATTGTACTTTTTATATATGTTAAAGAGCTGATATGGACGGTAACTCAATCTATAATCCGTTTTGCACATTATTTTTTATGTTTTTGCGTAGATAAATTACTCGTAAAGTGAATTTATCATCAACAAAAAAGTAAAAAGTCGCGTTTCTTTTTTTGATTCAGTCAAAATGATTAAATTATTTTTAATGGTGAAGAATTTCAAAATCGATAATAAGACTAATTTACTGTTTCACTTGTGATTAGTTTCGTCTTTATTCAAAAAACATCATCAGCAGAGTTGCCAGATGCTTAAAAGGTCAGAATAGCGGAATAAAAAGGTGAAAAAGCGGAAAAAAGCGAAATTTTTTCTCCAAAATGCGAAATAAAAGCGGAAACGCATTTTTCACCAAACGCAAAGCCAATCAATATGGGCTATTTGTGGATACGTGTTTTTGATCAATCGTCATAAATTTCAAGAGTTATGTATGGCAGGATAAAATTTAATTCGAAACTTCTCCGCCTACAACAGCACTTAATGGTTAAGATTTTCTGACAGAGTTGCTTTCCTTGAAGATTTAGTATTTCACAATTTTTTATACTTCCCTTCAGCAGCACTTGAGACAAATTAATGTTTTTCTGTCAGTGCTCACTTCCGGCGCAACTTTCTGATTTAGTTCCTAAAACAGTCCACATCTGTTTTTATAAAAGTTGCAAAAGCATTGTTTTGACAGATCACTCAGCCGCCGAAGACATCCAACTTTTTATGAGAAAATGTAAAAATCTTCATTGCAGGAAAAAGAACAAAAAGAACAAATCCTCGAAAAGCGGACAGATTACGGACAGCGGACACTTTGCGGAAAAAACTACAGAAAGCGGAATTTGTCCGCAAAATGCGGACCATCTGGGAATTAAGATCATCAGTAAAATGATGAGAAATGTGTTCTAGACATGTGGTCCTTTTTCTTATGCTTAAAAAGAGAAGAAAAGACCGATGATGTCTTTTGAATAAAAACTAAACTAGTCTCAAGCGAAACAGTAACTTCACTATGTATAAGATGGCGTTACTCAGTCAAAATGGTTTAGATCAGCCTAGGGTTCAAGAATTTTCAAGTTGAGAATTTTTTTATTGTTACGTGCTACATTTTACAACGAAATGTGTTATGCACTTGTTCATTTTGTTGCTCTTCTTTATATCTTTTCTTCATTCATATGATTAATGTCGACCAATCAAATGTTGTTCCGAGATATGTTTTACATGTGAGAGTCTTTCAAAATGTTCATATACTATTACTCTTTTGCTGAACATATTCCAGTTAGGCATGCAACAGTTTTTTTTTCGTATTTTTCAAAAACTGGATTGTATTTTTGCAACAACGAACTGTGAAATTTTCTGGAATCAGCAGTTTCTCTTCTCTGGCATATAGTAGATATGTTTAAAGTTGCTTGGTTTCTTTAAAAAATGATTTTTGATAGAATGACCCAGCAGTTAAAACCGCAGTTCTTGCAAATCCTTTTGATTTTTTCAATTATATTTATTTTTTGTTTTCTGCTTTTTACGTTAACTATTTTATCATTTATTTCAGGGTCGTATAACTCATGAATTAGTTGCTGTTGGTGCTCAATGTAAAGGTGAGCGTCATGAACAAACAATATCGAGACAACGTGAGGCTCTAAATGAATTACGTGCACGAATTAAAAATCTTGAACAACTACGTCCAGCTAATCCTCCATATGAAAAAGTTTTACAGCAAGTTATTCTATTAAAAAAAGAATTAGCCGAATTAAGAGCAAGACAGGCATTACCAATGGATATACCAAGTTTAACATCAACTTCATCACAGCAAAATTTTCGAGTATCACCCAATGATGATATTCAAAATGGTGAGGTTCAAAAAATAATTGAAGAACGAACAGCGCATGCTGATACTATGAATGTACTGCAAACTTGTGAAGAAGTGGTAAGTTTTAAAGGATTACATAGAGAAACTGTTTACTATAATAGCGCTTTCTTCTTTTCTTTTTTAATTTGCAGTACAGTACACTAGTGAGAAGATTAGCTCAATTACTTGAACTGGACGATGAGATATCTAATGTAACACCATTATCTACATTGGGTGCTAATGAACGATATGCCGGATTACAACAACGACAACGAGCAGCAGACATGTTAACACAAAAAATTGAGGTATAGAAACTTTTTCTTTATTGTAATTTGTGGAAAACTTCAATTTTGTAGAGTAATTTTGTTGGTTTAAGCTTTAATCTTGAACCAGAACGAAATCGAGAATATAAATTCCCATTATATCATTCTGAAATTTAAACTATCAAAACACAAAATCAATCCTTGTACGAAGCTTGAATCGAACACACGAACTTGATCTTTGCAGACGAACTGCAAAAATCAACTTCGCTGTTCTTTCCTATATTCTGCACAATGATTGAAGTTGTGCAATGACTCGATGTTATCCTTCAATGTATATATTTTTTTTATTGTGTTTTTGTGTTTTGTTTTTGGTTTAAGCTTCAATCTTGAACCAGAACGAAATCGAGAATATAAATTCCCATTATATCATTCAAAGCAATTTTGTTTTCTAATTTAAAGATGCTTCGTGATCGTTTATCAAGAAAAGAAGAATTATTACGAGATTATGAAAAAGATCTTGGCAAATTGAGACAAGCTGAAATACTTATCAAAGAAAAAAATATGTTATTGCAAGATTTGGAGGTATACGGCATTGAAATTTTGTTCTAAAACAAAATCTATAAAGACATTGTTGTTTATTATATTTAGGTTGGCAAACGAACAAATGAGGATGAAGCTCTATTTTTACGTAGTACATTGAAACAAACGCAAGATCAGTTAAATCATGAACAACGTGTTAATACAGCTATCAAATTAGGAAGAGTAAGAAGAAACAGGTACAAAATTGCATTGATTTTCTAAGATGTATCCTTATTTTTAGAATATTGATGGAGATCATTCAACCGATTTAATTCGTCGTAGTGGCTCCAAACAATCTACAACTACATTACATCATCATTGTCCACCCGATATTGGACCAAAAATAAAAACAGTCAAAAAAGAAATGAATCAGAAAATCGCAAGAAAAGATTATGAAATTAAAACATTAAAACAAGTAAATCAATTTGATCTAATTTACGAAATGCTCAGATAAGTTGTAAATATTGACAGTATTGTTAGAAATAGAGTAACTATATTTTTGTGACTAAGTTTTGTATACAAAGTCATCATAAACTTCTTTAGTTTCAAAGAAAATTTCTACAATTTGAATATTCTTACCTCAAATCGAAACATTATTTTCTAAAACTAATAAAGTTGTTATTGTAGGAATTACATGAAGCATTAGATACATTATCAGAACAGTCTCATCGCGTTAAATTAGCTGAATTACAGTCGAGAGTACGTAAATTTAGCTCATTAGCTGTATTATCTGGATTATATTATTTTCTTTCTAGGATACATTACACGAATCTTGATGGTTGTTTTGTACAGTTGAATAATCAATTAACTTCGATAACTAAATTTCTTCTGTGTGATCTTTTTTTTGCATCAGATGGGTGTCCATTTTTTCATGATTTTTGGATATGACTGTTTTTCGTGATTTTGACTACTGATTTATAGCAATAAAGGAGCTGTACACTTCTGTGACAGTGACACCATAGCACAGCACTGTGAAAAAAAAATGTTTTCTTTATTTTCTAGTAGAATCTAAAGTGTTTCAAAAAATACGTATATATATATACATTTATTTTCTCATTCTTCCATCATTAAATGATTTAAGAATGAAATTATCTATCATTAATTTAAAATATTCACATATTATCCTGATTTTTGCAGTCAAAAGAGCTTCTACGTCGACACCATGTATTCTTGCAAAAACTAAACCATGAAGAGGAACAATTACGAATGAGACATTGGTATTGAACGAAAAAATTTGACGTCCCTATCACGAAACCATTCAGCTTACGTATAGTGGGCAATGATGCACTTAGCCAAAAAAACGAAAGTATACAGTTTTTGATTTCAAATAGTGGGCAATAATTTCTATAGCAAGGGCTATTTTTTCCGAACAAAAATTTTTTGTTTCAGTTTTATAGTATCAGAAAACTCGTGTAATGCTAAAACACGATATTCTGGAAAATAAGATTATTCAAGTGCATCAAACATAAATAAGTTCCATTCAACATATAGTACGACACGATTTTGGTTGAATAAACACGAGATTCAGCAGAATACTTCATATTATATCACTTCATTAGAACTCTGATGCTGAATTCTCTGTCATTTAACTAGGCCATTGATAGACCTTGTTAAGACTAAGAAAACCCTAAAAACATTCGTGCCCATGATCCTTCGTTTATGGGATATTTGAGTTGCAAATGGATTTTCTCCTGTGGCACTAGTTTTTCTTGAAAACCTGAAATGTTGAGTTTTAACTTGACACTTTGCACAAACGAAGGTCTCTACTAGACTAGTCTCTGTAGAAAGTTTCACAATTCTCGGATGTTCTTCATTTGT